GGGGGGGGGAGAGATAGAGATAGATAAAGAAAGAGAGCAGAATAACAAGTACAAACGCACACACATGCACACACACAGAAACAACAACAGAATCCTCCAATAAGTGACGACTGTGAACAAGCGTATCTCTCAATTAGTACATTATGTTTGGTAATTTATTATGATCAACACAAGCCGTCATCCACAGGTGCTAGCAACAGTATGATTAAAAAAAAAACGTCACGTGTTTTATTAACAAAGTCAATGCAAAGACACAATCAACAGGATCAATGTCAAGACACTTGACACAAGACACGTGACACATAACACATACATAATGCTGACTACAATCACGTGTGGCCTTCAGGGAATATAAATCATAAACTGATGCAGTAGAAATAACAGCGTAGCGATGAGGCTTGCTGACAAAATGAGTTACTTTTCCGATTTTAGCTTTAACTCTATGGACTTAAGGTACCGTCACCTCAGAACTATTTGTGAGGCAGGGTGATGAAATCAGGCGCTCGTCAAAAGTAATGAAAGTGAAGAAACACAGCTTTGGCAATTTTTATTGGTGACCCCCACTGACTTCATTCGCAAATATCTCGACTTGTATTCAAGATAAATGGATATTTTTTAATCCAAAGCAAGACAAATGAGCACGCTTTAAGATGATACCAATAACTTCACATGCCCCAAAATTGACGAGAGCCTGATTCCACCACGTCGTGACCCATTTTGTCCAAAGAGTACACTTAAATAAAGAAGCACTTTGGACAAAATATTTCTGAGGGGACGATACGTCAAACTTATAGGTTGAGTTTGTACATTTATTAGTAAGAATTGATAAAACACATGTCAAATTTGAGCTTGTATGTGGCCTATACCCTGTCAGGGGTGAAAGGCACTGATGACGATGATGTCAAATTTATTTATTTAAAAAGTGGTATCAGTTTAAAATCTACAAATCTGACCGCCAGTTGAATTTTTGCCAATATCTGCTTTTGCAATTGTGAGAGGTATCTCATTTTGTCAGCGGCACACTTCACATGTAATAGGCATTGAATTGCTCGCTCACAGTAGGTACAGAAGAACTGGTAACACCAACTGTGTTTTGCGATTCACTCAGAAACATGTCATTGAAAGTTCCAACTACTGACCGTTGCAATATTAACTTTTGTTTTGGAAAGGAAAATACAGTTAAATTTGCTTAAACGTAAACCAAATTCTGAGGGTCCGCTGGATTCTTTTTGGTCGAGCCCATTTTTGGTTTTAGAGAGGCTGCTCAAAAGAAGAAAAACTATTCAGAATTAATTACTTTCCTTCTGTTTACTGTTGTTTTCGGAATACTCATTAGACAGACGGAAGAAAGAATGATAAGTCTTTGATGTTATAAAGAGGTATAAGAAAAGGGAAAATGCAATCATTTTTTAAGGACAGCAATAATTATTTTCAGAATAGTATTAGATTCTTTTTCAAGAGAAATCCAGTCATAGGAGGACAAGCCCTAGGTTTCAATGCTTTTGATCTATTGCAACTTCTTTAACAAAAGCTGGAATTGTTTGTGATTAGTATGATACGAGAGAGAAAATATCTGTGAGGCAACATGGTGAAATCAGGTGCTTGTCAAAATAACGAAAACGAAGAAGCAGGCATTTTTTCGTCAGTTTGGTAATTTTGATAAAATTTTTGTTTTTTGGATCAACACTTTTTCTGTCCATCTAAACACACATTTCCATCTGAACTTTTTTCTGAAAAACCTTTTTTAAAGGCATAAAATAAGTATATTTTTCAGTCTTCAATGGCTGTCAACCTATTGAAGTTACCAAACTTTGGTGACCATTTTCTCACTAATTTTACCTTTGAAACCAGGCGCACACCCCCCCTCCCCCCACACACACATCTTTCAATCTGAAATATCTTGAGATCTACTGAAGATAGATGGGTCATTCTTTTATCGAAAGCAAGACAAATGGAACAAGCTCTAAGACAATATCAATAACATCATTTGCCCAAAAATTGACGAGTGCCTGATTCCACCGTGTTGTGACACATATGATAAGAAAGAGAAAAATATTTAGCCTCAGCTGCTAGAGAAGAAATAAACATACAGAGTCTCAAAGCAACGAAGAGGAATTATACAGACTGTTAGAACATTTAAAATCAGCATCGTTATACTTTTAGCACTTCTTGAAATATTATGTATATTGCCATTTTTTTCTCCGTTTGACTATATCATAAAACATATAATACATTTAACACTCAACATTATTTACACTGCTGATTCTTGTAGAAAAAAAATTACGAGGTAGCAAAACTCAGTTTGGCAAACAGATAAGAAAATTGTGAAGACAAACTCACAAAGACAAATTTATGAGAGCAGAAAACGTTGTCTTTTATCAGATGTACAGTACCAAAGTTCTCTCACACAAGGCAAAATATATTTATGCTGCATACAACCTATGCTGTATAGAATTTGTCCCTTTTGAAGTACAAAATCAAGTATTCACATACCAATAAATGAGCTTCACTCATCTCAAGGTAGCAATCAAAATTCTACAGACTTCATCCATAGGAATGGCCAGTATTCCTATGGATCACACAAGACCAGGCCACTTCAAGAACATAGTTTTTTATTTTCTCTTTTTTTTGGCCAGTTCGATATTATTTTTCCCAACTGCTGTTCAGACCTACATTTATGAGCATATAATGACGATCACAGTCCTTTATTTCTGTCCCTTTCTCTTACACACTTACATAAAACGACTGTCTCTTTTTCACTCTGTGTTTCTCTCTTTCTCTCTCCCTCTCTCACTCACTCTTCTTTTTTCTCTTTACAAAAGAAAAACACTACAACTCTCCAAATAAACCCAACCCCAACGTCCTGTCAAAGCCAAAAAAAAAAAGTACATTCACGGAAACAGACACACATCCTAAATAGACAATCTTCATAATTATCAAGCTCAATGGTACATGATAGTTTTTCATTCAAACTTTGATGATTATTGCATTGGTAGGGTGGAAGGAAGACCAAAACAAGAAGAAACAGCAGTACTTATAAAGAATTATTACAGTAGAAACATTTGTACATCATTATAGTTATGTCGGTGTGCTTGTGACTGTGAGCTTGTAGGTGTATGTGTGTGTGTGTCTGTAATATATATTGTGTGTGCTTGTACATGTATGGGGGTGTGTGTATGTAATATAGTGTGTGCTAGTATGTGTGTGTGAGTGTGCGTGTGTGTGTGTGTGCTTGTGTGTGTGTGGGTATGCATTAATGTGTAGAATACTAGATACCAGCCTAATTACTTAAGACAACAAGACTGGTACTGTAGATAGGAATAAGTAAAAGTTGCAACAGACTGATCTTTTCAGTTAAGGACAACATTGATTTTTGATTCAGTATGTACTAATAGAACTTCAGGGTTGTGTCAAACTCCGTAAAAATTCAATGAGACAACAACACCAAAACTTATTCTTTTTATAACCTTTCTCTTGTGTTTAAAAACTTTAAATATCTTTAACTTAAACGTTTTATCAGTACAAAAATGTGTCGATTAGACGACTTAAGTATGTAAGCTAAGTACATTTTGATGGGTAATGGGTAAGGTTTTGCATTTGCTATAACTTATTTAAACCAGCTTCATTGGTGATAGATATCTTTCAGCTGAGAGAAAGATAAATGGCATATACAACTCAGATTTCAAATTTCTTCTGGCTTTTCTTATATGTGCCCATTTAAAAATCCTAATTCGATGTGATTGAGATTCAATGTTAAAGTCAGTCAGAAAGTGAGCTAAGTAAAAGATCCGAAAATATTACAATACTTATATTCAACAATTAATGTGTTTGTTCTTGAGCATTTTGTGGGTTGGGGAGAGGGGGTGTGGTGTTGGGGCAGATTCCAGGTTTTTTAAACTTCACAACAAATGAAAATGATGACAAAAATAATGACAAAAATGATTATATAAACATGTTATGAGTCGAACACTCCTCACCTTTAAGTTTGGCTTGGCTACAAAACAATTTTTTCATGGGTTGTAGTGAAAGTATTGACACGGTCGACTTTGTAAGAGAAACAATATTAAAACTGCCATTGCACAATAACTTTGCTTGCTAAAAATTCTCTATGCATTACAGAATGTGTGTGATGTATGTAAAATAAAAGACAGGAGTGCGCCAGACACATTCCTGCAGGTAAATTGCACACAGCATTGCTATTTAATGACAACAAACAAAAAATGTGTTAAACATAACACAGAGACTGTTAAGCATAACATAGACAAGGAAAAAAACCATCAGGGATGATATTTAACTTTCAAAATTTGAGCATAAAATTTACAGTTTGATGTTTTTCTTATTACAAATTAAAATGTATAGAGGTAAGTGTACTTTTCATTGCTGCTCTTTAGTCTGCCTTCATCTTCTCAGGTCAAGTATAACTAATGAAATAACCAGAAATTAAACAAAAACGAACAAGTTAGGATAAATCCGTTTCTTGTATATGAACTACATGTCTAACATTCATGACTGTAACAGAACAATGATTGTCTCTGGCATATATATATATACAATCTAACACGCACATAGTGAACTTGTATATGGTGAACAGATTTTCAGGTCCAAACTTTTTCAAATATAATATGTACTTTTTTGGTATTCAAAACATGTACATAGCAACATTTGCACATAATGAAAAGACTTCTGCATCCCACTAATTTCTCTATGTGCGTGCTAGACTGTATTTCTGTATTTGTAAATGTTTGCTGATCATATAATGTGCCAGCAGTACACAAATGTGTACATAGTAACTGGTAGCTTTTCAGAGACTAGGTTTGCTTCTAGCTGGCTGTTGCAACAGCAGGTGTGTTTGTGAGAATTCTGTTTACCCTCATAACAAACAGAGTGTTTGAGATAAAACAGGACGAAATATCCTTCGGGAGTCACAAACAAGTATACGAGTTGCTGTCAAAACGACTGTTTCCTTTGCTCATTTGCTTATCAAACTCTACAAATCTCAGAGGGCAATCTTCAGGTCTCGGCTCCGAGTGTTGAAATAAAACAATGTGTTCCAAATAGCTGTAACACTAGATAATATATATTTATATATATATACATTACATATATTCACATCGGTACATTGCAGTAATATCATTTTCGTGTGGAAAAACATTGAAACAAATTATCAAGTACAAAAGAAAAGAACATTCAATAATATGCTAGAGTTGCATAATGCTTATCTCAGGTCTGCATGTCAAGACTGGAATAATATACAAAAGGGGCATAACATGATCATCTTCACCATAATGCTTCTCTGAACACCAAGATGAAATTACAGTAGAGGGTTTATAAAATATATTATTTCACATGATCTGCGTAGGGGGTAATGATGACACCATAACGCTCTTAATCTGGTCTTTGCACTGGTGGCTTTTGCCATCTCGTAAAAATAAAAAGATCACTGTGGAAGGCAACGTTCTGACATCGTTTACGTGATTTGTGGCTCCGTGAAAGAGCATGGAGGAGGAAGTTTTTCCTCACCACTTCGGATGCTAGTTGGCGGTACATATGTCACCAGCCAGACGGAGAACACCAGATCAAATGAAGACTACAGGGGAAAACTGGCAATGTCACATTTTCCACTTCCCTGAAAATTTAGATCCCGAGCCTTCCTTTTTCATGAATTATTTGACATTTTTGGGGTTCTATTAATGAAATAATCATGTGGTGGTTATTTCAGACAGGTGTTTTAACTTTATATGTCATCACTGTGTTGCACTGTGGGGATTTGAAGAAAATGACTATTGTTTGGACATCCCTAGTCAGATCTTCCCCCTGCAGTCTTCAAATGCTGACGTAGATGCGATCAGTGAAGGCCTAGTAAGAGATGAACTCAGAGAGTAAGCGATGGACTCAGACCAACGTCTCTTGTTCTGCCTCCGAATTTTTCTTCTCAGCTGCGATCATCTCCCAGTGGTGCCACCGTTCCCGTTCCCACTCGGCGGAGCCCATCGGCGGAGTATTCTCAAAATTGTCTTGTGCATGCGAGTGATTCAGTCGACTTGGCGAGGGGGAAGGTATCAAGGTCGATGAGGAGGATGTGGATCGAAAGAAGGGTTTCGGCGAGGCTTCTCTGGAGCCCGGGGGTGTTGGAAGTCCCCAGTGAGCAGACTGACCGTTGTCCGAGCCGCCGTGGCTGTTGAGGGAGGAGGAAAGGCCACTGCTGGAGCTACTGTTCTCCCGCAGGTACAGTGGCCGTGGAATGTTCAGATTTTGACTATAGTTCTCCGAGTAAGGTCTATCGAGTCCGCCTCCTTCCAGCCTCCCTCGAAGCGTCACCTCGGGACTGGAATCTTCTTGGGAAATTTTTAGCGTAGGAACTCTTCTTGGAAGAGGGCTGGGAAAACTTTGGCCCAAGTCAAATCGAGGTTTTAGTGATGATGAAGAGTCACCGAATAATCGTTGATTGTCTTTAGAGGATGGAGAGAGTGCCTGGGATTCTGACAGATGAGTGGCTCGGGATTTGGACACTGGTGAATCCAAGTTATCGTCAGCACTTTTCGTAACTCGCAGTGGACGGTGGGCAGTGGAAGTGTGTCTTCTGGACAAGGCCAGAAGGTCTGCATCACTGTTTAAAGAGTGCGACAACATTGGACTGTTTGAGGCGTCTTCAAAGACACTGCACATAGACTCTGGATCAGCCTCGATTCTGAAAAAAGAAATGAGAAGAAAGAATAAAAGAGCTGTGCTATATGAGCCAAGACAACACTGCATGATACATATAGATTTTAGGATGCTCTATGCAGTTTTTAAGACACCCGGTTTTTCCAGAAAAGTGTAGGTATACAACAGAGAAGACGCATTTTTCATGTTTACTCCTCCATACTTTTATTACACTGATTTACAAAGAGTGATGATTTGCTTTTTTTGTTTGAATAACGAGAAGCACATCTACATAATAATGGTCATTTAGTGCTGTGAAAAAGTTAGGTAAACAGACAGAAACAACAGAGAGAAAGTAAAGAAATAGGACCTACCAGTGGTGTCCTCCACCACCCGTGAGAGTGGTGAGTACATCTTGAGATTAAACCACAATCATAACGAGAGGACAGAACTCAAACAAACATAGACAAAGTCAAACAAGTGATGAGAAAAGGGACACAACAACATTTAAATAAAGTATACAGTCGTAGAGATATATTCTGCTTGAGAGTAGTGGATTTTCTTTTAAAAAAAACCTACTTACTGGCTTTGATTTGCCAAACACTTGAGTATTCTGTCTGCTGTCTCTTGATCCGATTCTATCAACAACCTCAGGATGTCGTCTCGGACGCTCCCAGTAATCTGTAAATGCACAATTTAAAAATAAATAAACATAAATAAATAGATAGGTGAATAAATATATAAATAATAAATAGATAAATAGATGAATAAATAAATTGTTTAAAAAATGAATAAAAAGAAAATGCAAAAAAAGGAATAAAAATATAAATAAATAAAAAAATAAAAAAATAAACAAATAGTATTGATCTTCTCTTCCAACTATGATCAGACTGAAAATACTTCTTTACATATAACAACACACATGCTCCACCAGGAGCACAGTCTCATACCGGTACCTCATAATAATAAATACAGTGGAAATTGTCCAAGTCACCCCCCCCACCCCATCCCTTGTCAAAGTAAAAAATGTGACTTCTTGGATAGAGTCATTGTGATGTGAAGAAAAATCACAAGGGACGATGTGGCAAGTGGTTGTTTGTGTAGTAGGTGATTGTCTTTGACAGTTGACCTTTGGGGCAGGTTCAACTGCAGTTATAGCTTTAATATTGGTGTAAAATGTGTGACACAAGGGAGATGATTCAAAGACATAAGTTTTATCACTTTGACTATTTCATGATTAATGCCCTTTGTACTACACAGGACTTAAATTAATGTCTCTCAAGTGCGACGTGAAACTTCTTAACGTAGCATGACGATACATTCGATTAACATCTGAAAAATACTTTTTCATAGTCAAGGGCAAGCCACTGAGAGAAATAAACAATTTGACAACTAGTGGTAAAGAAAAAAAGCAACTAAAATTAAGTTGATTGTGAAATTCTTATATTTGCTTTTGTTTGATGTATGTAAGGTATCAAAATCTTACACCGGTAGTGAAGGAGAACGATGAACTAGGAGAAGGACTAGGCCCATGAGGTAACAACTTTACAACCTTACTCCACAATTGTCTGTCAAAGTTCCTATATGACCTTCTTCACTTGCTCTCTCTTAGTTTGAAACAGCTTCATCTCAGTACTACTTACAACTTAATTGCTCTAGTTTTTACAATGTAATATTGAACAGTTCGATTTACATTGAGGTTTCTTGCAGTTTTTTAAAAGTCACACACGTCTTCAACTTCATGAAATAATACTTGGATCAAAGCAGAGATAGAGGAGATAGATGGAGGTCCATTGGGGCAAAGAGCGGGTCCCTGAAGGATGAACACAGCCATAGTGACAGCTGGTGACAGAAGTCTGGAAACTAAAAATAAACTTTAAAAACTCGTGCCTTCTTACCTCAAACAGTTCGTGGTGATTGTCAATCATATCCTTCACCACTTCGATAACCTCCTTGCTCTGCTCCACCCTCTCCGCTGACTCAGCCAACAACTCTTTGTCACTGGCGCCCTTTGACCTGTGCAGAATGTTCGGCCCAAACAGGGTCGCCAAGTTGTGAGCATCCATCTTATTTCCGGGAACCTGCAAGGAAAGATGTAACAAATGATGATAAACCTTCAACATAAAAATAAGATGGATACATAAGCCTCTACTGATCTCATAATCTATGAGGATCGTAGGATCGCACTGTTTGACAGGAAGCCTCGTCAGGTACCTCCACTTTTCACGTTTTTTTGCGACTCTCTGAGTTTGGACGAAGGATTTCCCTGTCCAATCCGCAATGTTGTCTGTCCACCTCTTCCTTTGCTTTTTTCTAAACATAAGCCTAGTGATTCTCAAAACAAAACATAAGCTATGCCCCATCATCAATATTTTCTTGCACTCACCACAACATAAAAGTATCAACACTTGTATATATATTCCTGCACAGTCACTAACTGTCTACTTGAATTTTTCTTGGTCACACTCCATGACAATATCGCTCCCATTTTATTGTTGTAGGCTTTACTAAGATATTAGTATAGTAGTAAAAGTTTTCTCGCACTTGCAACACAATTAGGTCATATAACAGCAGAAAATTTGAGGTTTTACTTAAGAGTAACACAAAGAGAAAAAAAGAGATAACAACTGATGACACATGTTTGATAGAAAGAAGGAGCAATCCCCACAAAAACCCCGCCAACCACCCACACTTTAGTTCACTTATGAAAGCCAAGAAGTAAAGGTTGTTAAACAAGATCACTCACCGTTTCTCCCTTCTCGTTAGTCGTGTCTGTGGCATGCTGGCTCACAGTGGCCAGGAACCTGAGCAGAACCCAGAGAGTGTCCCGGTTCGCGACGGGCAACATGGCAATCAGGAGACCAACTGCGACATGACGCTTGCTCTCTTCGGATATTCCTGGAGAAGAAAAAATCATTTGAATTGAGGTTTTATGTTACATATTTTATTTGGTTTGTTTCTTGTGAGTTTTCATTTCCCTTTCAAAGGAGTTTTTTTTAAAGATAGACGAGAAAACCTGTCTGACTGAGATTTTGTCGATACTGTGTGAATCTTATTTTGCTTGCTTTTTTATTTGGTTTTGATTTTCCTTTCAAAGGAGTTTATTTAAAAACAGGCACTAATAATGTGAAGCACCATCTATAATAAGAATCTATGAGTATTTCTAAACAATGTGTGGAGAAATATATAAATAAACTAATAATAAAAATAAAATAAATAGATAATATTATACACTTTAAACTTATGTCAGTCATTTTGACAAGTGTCTTTTTATTGCTCAAACTCTGCATCTGAAAAATAATGTAGAAAAGTAGGCCTACTTCTCTCTTTATATCAATTCTTCATGTTTCACACAGAGCCTATAGCATATGACTCACTCTTTGCATAGAGGAAGGGCAGGTACAGCTCCCGTGACAACAACGGCTCAGGCAGATCCCTGAAGTACTCTTTTAGCAGAGCCCCTACATCGTGGGCCTGATGTTCTTGGGTGAGCAGCACATCTTTGCCGGTGTCGAATTCTTCTCGCAGCTGTGGGCAGATAAACAATGTATATGTAATAATAAGCAAAATGGGAAAACAGACACAAGTCAATGTGAAAGGAAAATACTTTTTCAAAAATGAAAACATCAAGCTAAACTAAACTAAGAGAAATATTAATTGATCACATTTGAATTGTTTTTCAAATTCATATATTGGAAGTACTATTCTTTATGATTAAATTCTTTTAAAACAGTTTTTGATCTATGGAAAGAAGCATCAAAAAAATAATTGAATCAGAAGTTTCCAAATGTGTCATTTCCAAAGATCACATTCTTTTTTCCTAAGAAAAACAATCAATTTATTTACTGAGAAAGTGGGGAAAAAAGGAGCAAACTTTTAACACCATATTATCTTTTCAAGAGCTTCATCATGATCACTGTAGAACAGCTGAAAAAAATTGTTGATGATTGAGAAATAATTTGTTTGTTTCAATTTTTTAAAATTCCCAAAATGTTTATACACATTTCAATTTTCATATTCCAATCCCAATACAAAACTTTAAAAGGGGAAGTAGGCCTACATTCTAAACAAAATACTAAACAATAAAATAACCAGAGAAAGGTGAAGAGGATCATCAAAAGGAGATGAGGGATAGACACCAAACAAAAGTAAAACACAAAAGAACATGTTAATGACAGAATGTCTAAGTACTGACAAATCACCCTGAAAGCAAGATCATGGACATTCCTTATCCCCCTCCCCCTCCTCTCCCCTCCAACCATCCCACAAATGCATACGAAGTTATAATAAAAAGATTATTTTTTTAAAAAGGTTAAGGGCCAGACCAAACTCCTATGTTTCTGCCATATTTTAAAACACTGTCTATCACTGGGCGGCTCTCCTCAGATTTCAGTGAGCCACTTGTCCCACTCCTCTCCAGCACGTTCTATTCCTGGCAGCAGTAATGAGTTCACTGTCCTACAGCTAAGCTGGCAGGGAGCAGCTGACGAATGTTTCCTGGATTGCGCAATGATGTTTCCTTGAGTGTGTTCTATGAATACTCAATCTCTCCAGCCCTACAAGATTCCCCCCCCCCCCATTCCCGCCACAGCCTCACCTGCTTAACTCTCTTTTTAGAACAGCCAACTCTGAAAATTCCAAGTGTCTGCAGACCTGAAAAAGACATTTTAGAAAAAAGAGTGAAATATTCTGTCACAAGATAATTAATTAGTATCCAAACATGCAAGCCATATTTTGACTTAGTGGGGACAGTCAGAGGGGCAAAGAAGATAGCAATTTTATACACGTATCACTGAAAACAACAACATGTATATTTCTCAGGTTCTTTTCCCATTGTCTCAGGCTAACCTCAGACAAAAAAAAAATATGTGGGCCTCTTGAGTTTTTCATCTTTAAACAAAAAAGAAGAAAAGAAAAGAGAGCCTGCAATTAAGTGTTTCTAAAATAAAACAGCCATACAAAAGAAAGCCTGTTTCTGTTGGATGCTTGGTGTCACAAAATAGTTTACTCCTTGCGTCTCTTCAAAAATACTTGCTTTACTCAAAACTCTCAATGAAAACTCTACCTTGCTTCAAAATCGGACATATATCACAACATATACTGACTTCATAATTTCTTGTTTCTGTTGTAATAAATGCATCCACCAGACCACACATTATTATCTCTTGTGAGCAATAATAAAAAAAAAAAAGCAATTGCCAAAATTAGCACCCAATTGCTTTTCTATTTTGGACGTACAACTGTTTGATTGCAGAAGCTCCACTCAAATATTACTAATATAGTTCCAACATTTCTTCATTGAACTACTAAACACTGTATGGTTATTGTTCCCTTTTTATCTCGTTGTCATATCTGCCTGTTTTTGTGTTTTTTCTAGTCAGTTGACAAGTTTGTTTGTGTATTTTAAAGATTCAAATTAGACCACTCACAGCGAATAAACAACCAGTGTCAAGAGTTTTTCATAACCAATTTTCAATGTCAATTATGAAATGCTGGGATTAAATTTTAAAAACGAAAATACACGCCAGATTACATAAATGACTTTTTTATCACAAAGGATGCTTTAAAAAAAAACCCCCAACAAAATTTCAGTAAGTTTGTCGCCAAAACAGGACAAACAAAAATGTGAATCTGAATAAAAAACGGCAAAGCCACTCACCATAAGTCTCTATGTGCCGAAAGCACGCCCTGACCACATTCGGGACTTGCGCTTCTCCCTGATTGGTCAGTTGACTTCCGTCCGTTGCCAGACTTCCCAGGCGTGAGGGTGGCTGGGAGGTGGACAGCGACAAAGCATCGATCAGACTAGAGCTCGTGTTCCGACTTGACTCCGACTCCGATAAACTGTCAGAGCTTGCCGCTCTCTGCAGAATGCAAACAATACACAATAGTAAATAATAAACAAAGGCAAACAGTAAACAGCTAATTTTTTAAAAACCCAACTAAATAGTAACTACAGAAAAAGATAAACAAAAGTAAAAAATAATTTCATTCATAGGCATTGAACGAGATAAAATACGTTAACTGTTCTTCTTTTGCCTGCAGGACCAGAAACTATCGATTTTGATTTTCAAGACGGACACTTATCATCTCACTGGCGGCAAAATTATTATCAATTAGTTGATAGGCTATAGTTTACCTCAGCCTGCTCTATAACCACCAGCAAGAAGAGAAGACTATGGAGGACGAGACTATGGGCCGTGTATTCCTGAAATGTCCCACCAACTATCGTGCCAAAACACACTTTCTGGGACATTTCAGTGATCTATGTTCAGCACATTTCAAGGACTCCCGAGGGAGTATTGAATTCTTGCGTGCTGTTGGCATCGCTGACCACTTATGGTGCCACAGTGCCAGAAGAGAGATAGAGAGAAAGAGAGAGAGAGAGAGAGAGAGAGAGAGAGAGAGAGAGAGAGAGAGAGAGAGAGAGAGGGAGAGACAGACAGACAGATAGACACACAGACAAACAGACAGACAGACATAAACAGACAGACAGACAGACATACAGACAGACAGACAGAGACAGAGAGAGAGTGTGAGAGAGACAGAAAGAGAGAGAGAGAGACAGACAGACGGACAGACAGACGGACAGACAGACAGACAGACAGACAGACAGACAGACAGACAGACAGACAGACAGACAGAGTGAGAGCAAGAAGAGAAGATGGTGAAAGTTTGACTCACCTTGTGGGAGGAGGGCACAGCCAGGCCCTGCTGTGGAGCGGCCATGTTGCCGTTGTGAGCACTGCTGCCGTTTTCCAAGGAGCCCTGGGAAGAACTGCTCGACTTCCTAGTGACAAAACGTTTTTTGTTTGTTTGAAATGATTGGTTCGTTTGAATTATTTGGTTTGATTGAGTTGTAGTCTGCACACGTGCACGCGCACACGATCACACACACACAAACACACACACACACACATACGTACACACACACACACACACACACGCACAGACAGACACACACACACACATATCATGGGTCTATGCACACACACACACACACACACACACACACACACACACACACACACACACACACACACACACACACACACATACATGTTTATTATACATCCATACACGCAAAGAAGCACACACATACTTTTTATTTACTCAGTTAATTTCATTGTCATGTTTCGGGACAATTCATAAATATGTCAACATTACGTTTGACCTGTTCAGGCTATAGCCTTCATGAGCAAACAGAAGAAAAATAAAACAAAACAAAAATAACATTAATAAAATGTTGATCTACACATAAAAGCAGAAAAGTAAACGGAGGTAGGCTATAATAACATACAGTACCTGTGAGGCCGTTGATTGGCCAGATTGTCAGTGCTGTCCGTCCTCATCTTCACACTGCCAGAGGCCGCGACCAGAGCAACCTTCCTCCTCTTCTTCTCCAGCTCCTTGTCGTTCTGGATGCACTTGCTGAGCGGAATGCCGAATACAAGGCCCGAACTCACACCGTCTGTCAGTGAGGGGAGGGGGGGGGGTAAGAGGCGTTCAGGGAGGTGGGAGAGGGGAAAAGAAGCTTGTTTTAGTAAGTGTTTTACGGCCCATGCAACACAATAAGGTCAAATAAATGACAAAGATTTGATGTGTTACAAGAGAGTAACAAACAAACAAAAAAGAAGGAGGAGAGATACGGACGATAGATGTTTGATAAGAAAGAAGAAGCAAACGACACCAGAGCACCTGCCAAGCACTCACGGGAAGAGAAAGTGTTGGTAAGCAGGAAGGGGGGGGGGGGAGAGAATAAATTCATGATTTCTGGGAAACGATCGATTTGAATAATGGGCAAAGACAGTGGATCAGAGAATGGGAACTTAAGAGAATGGGCGCACACACAATGTTAAATGTTTGAAAGCTTACTAAGAACAATAACGGTTGAAAAACAAATTCTAAAGTTTTCACAATCTAAAGTTTTAAGGTACTTACAACACAAGTACTAAGTACTTGTAGCCTTGTAGATCATAGAGCAGTAGGTGTTCAAGTTTAGAGATGGCACAAGAGAGTAACACACAAAAAAGAAAAAACCCCCAGAATAGATAAAATCTATAGATGTTTGATAGGAAAGAAGGCGCAAACCACACCAGAGCATCTGCCAACCACCCACGTGAACAATAATTAACGATGATGAGGAATGTGGGCTTACCTTTCGCCATGGTATCCAGAGCGGAAGCGCTCACGGACTTTGACCTTCGTTTCAAGGACAGAGATGACTTCTTGGACCGCCGCTGCTCGGAGCATTCTGTGGACGAGAAGGAAATAAATTAAAAAAAAATATATACGCAATAAGTACCGGTACCATAAAACAGATAGAAGAACAAGTTAAGCACGCTCATATGCCTTATGCAGTTGCAAACGCTGTAAAACTTGATTTTTAAACAAAAGTTTAATTAAATAAGAAATGAATGTCTTGTCCTTCCTTGTAAACTGTACGATTGCAATTGTGACGTCAGCATCTTAAACACACTTTCCTCTGTCTGTCTGTCTGTCTCTCTGCCCCCCCCCCTTCTCTCTTCCCCTT